TAGAGAAGTTAAAATTATTTACAAGAGAGAGAATGGGGAGCAAATCAGGGAAGAAAAGAATAGGTGGGGAAGGGGGAAGGAGATAAGAAAAGTAAAGGAGAGTGTGGGAGACACCTTGTGGAGGTTTTAGACAGACCAGAATGGTCAAAGAGAGGCCAAAGGTCGTATTTATGGTGGTTGGATTGGGGAGTTGCACAGATGGTTTGCAGGTCATTTGGGTGCATGAAATGTAATCAACTCCCTAACACCTCTGAGAGAGATTTCAGTAAGGATTGCATTATTTTTAGCCATAAGGTCTTGCCAACCTTCCAGTGGAAGGGGGGCCCTCATGCAATGAAGGGTTATCCAGAGGCCTTGTTTTCACTGGGGCGAGTTCAGGATGTGTGCTCTCTGGGCTTGTGTAACACTCCCTTTCCCTGCTCTAGATGTTTCTGTTCTGAGTCAGGGATATGGGTCCTGAGAGACAGAGAGGTGTGAGCCACGGGAGCCAGGAGATCTGAAGACCAGCTGTGTGAGGAGTCCACTTCATGAATCTTACTGATCCTTCCAAGGATTTATTTGTAAACAATGAGGATCGTTGTAAACAATGTGGAACATAGAGGAGATTGTCTTCTTTTACTATCTTCCTTCTTTGCTGAATTGAAGTCTTCATCCAGTATTTTAATGTACATCTTGTATATCCTTTTGTTTTGTAAGGACAAACACCACCATTACACTAGAATCAACATTTTCATATCAATAGGTTCATAGTGTGAGCTGAACAAATGTCTGATATCTTCTTATTTGTAAAATCGGAACAATAATTTGTAACTTAAAGATTTGCTGTGAAATGAAGTAATGAGTGTATTAAAGTCCATAGCGAAGTGCTTGATATATTTAGAGTTTCAAAAGTAAATAACAGTTCTCTTTACCCCTCCTCTTGCTTGTTCTTCTCCTTCTTCTTTAATAATCTCTAGCAATTATAGTATAGAAAATTATAGTTGGGTATCAACTAATGTGTTTGTGAAAAACAAGGAAAACAAAGCTCACTTTTCTCTAAGGGGACAAGTGGATGAGCCTGACCATTGTATGTGATGTTATTTCCATCAAGCAAATCAACAAAGACAGAAATGCCAATATAGCTGAATGAGCCTGGGAAGTGGGGATGGTGATCACATGTTTACACATCATACATGCAAAAAATATGGCATTTACTTATTTCTATAAATGATCAAATCTTGTTCCTTAGTCTCTACCCTTTGGAGGTGTTGAATAATTTCTCAGAGTCCAAACAAAGTTAAAACAATGCTGGAGATTTATTTGTTGATCAAACAATTTGCGAATTGAACAACACACAGTATGAGACTGGGCGTTGCTCCCGAGATGAGACAGTCTGTGGTTTTTAGAGTCCAAGTGTCTCAGTCATCTAGTGCTTGTCTAACAGAAATACAACAAGTGGATGCCTTTAGCAAAGAGAAGTTTATTCTCTCACAGTCCAGTAGGCTACGAGTTCAAATTCAGGGCGCTCCAGGGGAACGCTTTCTCCATCGGCTCTGGAGGAAGGTCAATGTCATCAATCTTCCTTCGGTCTGGGAGCTTCTCTGCGCAGGAACCTCAGGATGTGCTCTGTTCCCGGTGGTATGAGGTTCCCATGTGTCTCTGCTCACTTCTCTCTTTTATATCGCAAAAGAGATTGCATTAAGACACTAATCTTGTCAACCTCATCAGTATAATCTCATCACAGTGAAAGAATTTACAACACAT